ATTTATTATATGTTTTTATTATTAATTTGTATAAAAAAATTGTCAAAATAAATTTAATTTTTAATATTAATATTATATAAAATAATTTAATTAAATAATTAATAAAATGTAAATTATTATTTTTTATATAAGTGTAAAGGTCGGAATTAAAAAATTTCTTAAAAAAACTAAAGTATTGAAAAAAAAATTAATATTCAGACATATTTAATTGGTTTATCACATCCAGACAAAGTTGGGTCATACATGTTCCCATCGGACCAAGAACTTCTTCTGACTCTGTCTTGAATGCAAATGATGCATCCATTAATAGATCGAATTTCCTCATAAAGGCCATACCCTCTGAAACGTAAATGTCCAGATTTTACAGCTTTGATTCCCCGGAGACTGGAGAGATCACTCCACTCCTCTACACCCTTTAGGGAACTGAAGCGAGATGTAGATAAAGATTGCTTCTTTATTTGAATCAAAGCGGAGAAGAAAAGCAAACGATGCTGAATGGTGGCAAACAGCTCCTCCATTGTTCATAGCATTTGAGTTGAAGCAACACCCAAGTCAGAATCTCTGCCATTTTATGGATTACGAAAGAATTCAAAAGCCCCAGGTAGTTTCTTTCTCCCCATCTCCATTTGCCACTCTTCTTTTTTCCTCTTGGTTACTGTTTCTTTCCCCTCTATCTTCTCCCAAGGTGACTGTCAGTTTTTTGGGGAAAGATGGGATTTTGCTTTCGATGTTCTGCGTCCTGATTTCTTCTGCTGTTGATCCGTCATATCCACTGCCGTATAGATGTTTGTATAAATGTCTTGTACAGTGTTTTGATGTAGGAAAAGGGTGTGATTTGTACAGGGATCAGGTGGGTTTTCGCCTGGGAAGTTGAGAAGCATGCTGCGAGGAGTGGAAAAGAAGAGAAAAGAAGAGGAAGAGTTTGAATCTACTTTTACTCTGAGATCTCAAGCCACTGAAGTTGATGATACAGGTATGCTTTTTGTTTCTTTTTCCTTTTCCTTTTTTTTTTTTTTATTGGTTTTTTTAGGAATGAGTTGGATTGATTGGAACGTGTAGGAAGAAGGGAGGTTGACATTTTGAATCTCATGATCGTACATCTTAAAAGGAAAAAGAAAATCCGTCATGAGATTTAACACCTTTTTTGCGGTTGAATCAGTTCCAAATATGGATCTTTCCCGTGAAATTTCCCCCTTTTTTTTTCTTTTTTTTTTTTTTATTATCTTCTCTTTGATTTTTGGAGTTGGGGTAGGTGGTGGGGTGAATTAATGGTGTGATTTCATTAGATTCTCATAATGATAGGAAATAATGGGCAGGGGATATTAATGGTATGATTTCATTAAATTCTGGAATGCAGTTATTTTGTTTGGAGATTTGTAGGAATCTTTCTACTTAGAATGTTTTGCAGGTGGTAGCAATTCTGATTCTATCAGAGATGTAAATGTGGTGAGCGTCCTTCCTGGATGCTCCACTCCGTCCACTGTTGATTCAATTGCTATGCAGATGATTAGTGAACGTCAGTTGAAGGATCATGCTTTGATAAATGCCAGAAATAGGTCCCATGAAGATCTACCTTTAGATTATGAATGTGGGCTGGATAGCATGGCTATGAACTCATCAATATTTGAGTTTCAGAAGGCTGAACGGGCTCCTCAAAGAGTTCCTCTTGCTCCATTCTCCAAACCAGCACCATCCAAATGGGATGATGCCCAAAAGTGGATAGCAAGCCCTACTGCAACCAGGCCAAAGATGGGGCAGGCACAACCACAAGGTGGACTGGGGCTTGGATTAAGAAAGGTTGGAAACTTTGGTTATTTCCAACAGTCATCGACTAAGGTTGTTGTTGAAGTTTCAGATCGTAGAGTGGTTGCTTCTGATGAACCAGATACAAAGCGCATTGATATAAGTCAAACTAAGAAAGATAGCCCAATGCAAAAGCTTGTCAGTTGGGAGGCTGTTCCATATCCTATTGCAGATTCATATGGTAAGCATGTGCTGATGAGTTAGATGTTGCACAGTTAGCTAGTAAGTTTTTGCTTTCAGTTTTATTTGTCTTGGTGCTTCATTCTCTTTTGCATTGTAACTGTAATCGAAGTATCAACTCTTGTATTTGCTCATTGTGCTGTCTGGCTGAGTTGCTTAGGACATAAATGCTACTCCTTACTATAGATGTTTTAAAATCACAACATTCTGCATGTATTAGGCAATAGTAAGTGTAACAAGTAATGCTGTCCATTGATTTTTTTTTCCTTGCAGTTAGTCTTAGTCAGCATGATTCATCAAAGGCTATACAGAGTGCAACTGCATTTATTCCACCTCCTTCAACAGCTAGATCAGTATCAATGAGAGATATGGGGACAGAAATGACTCCTATTGCTAGCCAAGAACCCTCAAGGACAGGGACTCCAGTGCGATCAACAACACCAATTCGCAGCCCAAATTCATCTAGGCCATCAACTCCTAGAAGAGACACACCTGCTTCAGCTCTATCAAATGTACCTGATGAGTGCAGTGATGTGAACAAGGAATTGTCTGAAAAGCAGCTGCAAATGAAGACAAGGAGAGAAATTATGGCTCTTGGTACCAAGCTTGGTAAGACAAACATTGCTGCCTGGGCTAGCAAAGAGGATGAGGATAAGGATGCTTCTACTTCACTGAAAACTGTAGGAGCTGAACAACCAACTAAAACTGTCATTGAAACTCGTGCTGTGGCTTGGGAAGAAGCAGAGAAAGCCAAATATATGGCAAGGTAATTTCTCTTAAAGGCAACTTTAGAGACATTTCTTTTCATAGTTTTTATTTTTTTGCACTTTAACGAACATGATATGGTCTAAAGAACAGGGTGAGAAAGGAATAGGGCTATTAGGAACATATAGGAAAGAAAATCAATAATTCCAAATATTAACATGACTTGATATTTATAGCATGAAGAACATAATAGTAGGGATATATATGCCTTAAACCCTAATTAGTAGAAACAGGAAACTAGTACTCAAAATAAACTGAATTATTTAATTAATCATAAATCATACAATTACATAAAAAGGCTTCAAAATAAACCCAAATACTAGAAACTGGAAATGGTCCTACCAAGGACCACCCTTTTTGTAATTGAATTGATAATTTAGCCTTTTCACCTGGTGCATAGAATGGAATTTATAAAGATCCTTTGCCTTTTGGAATATGACACTTAATTTGTTTGGCTGGCCTAAAGAAGAAGGGGGAATTTGACAATTAATTGTCAGGGTAGTAATAAACCTGCAAGATGAATCTGCATAATTCTTATGAATGAATCAGTTCTGGTTATTACTCTGAATACCAGCTCAAGTGCAGAGTTATGATCTATTATCCAGGTTCAAACGTGAAGAGATGAAAATTCAAGCATGGGAGAATCACCAAAAAGCAAAAACAGAAGCTGAGATGAGGAAAATTGAGGTATTTCACAGCTTCTGCCAGTTGTTTTGTATTCTTGCCATTTTAGATCTTGTTAGATTATATAGCTTCTTCTAGTTGGTTTGCTAGAAAATGTGTACAACTTTGCTCTTTGATTATAATGGAGGAAATGGATTCATGTTGATCAGAAAGTAATTTGAAATTAAGACTTTGTTGAATTGAGTCAATGTGCCTGACTTTAGTGGCTATAAAAGAAAGTTCCCATGAAAAGGGCAAAAAAAAAAAAAAAAAAACTTTTTATATTGTAATTGGTGGAAAGAAATTTATCATGATATTGCCTTTTTATTTGGTTTAAGTTTAGCACAGTTGCCAATAATGCTCAGACAGTATATAAGACAACTTTTGTAATAGCTCATGATTTAACCATCACTAATCATGTTAGCACTCCATTGCAATTCTTGTGGGCAATAAGTGGCTGCTTATCTTACTAGAAATATTCTTCAAGAAGACTAGTTACATGCCTCTTCTTTGAGTGGGTACAAACTCATAGAAGTATATGGATGGACTGTGGCTTTTCAGGTAGATGTTGAAAGGATGAGGGGGCAGGCACATGATAAGCTCATGAACAAACTTGCTGCTGCAAGACACAGGGCTGAAGAGAAACGAGCAGCAGCAGAAGCCAAGAGAAACAGGCAAGCAGCAAAAACAGAGCAGCAAGCAGAGTACATTCGAAGAACTGGCCGCATTCCTTCATTTTTTTGCTGCTGGAATTGGTGCTCTTAAAGTACAAGTTATGTCTAGGGAAAAAAGCTTTATCTCATATTTCCTTCTTCTTCTTTCCTCTTTTTACTTTTTTTCTTTTCTTTTTTGTTGTCGAGATATATGTGCCTATTGGAAACTAAGCTGTTGCTGTAATTCTGATCAATTTAATCAATTCAAAGCTGAAATGCAGTTCTTTGCTGTTCAAGTAAGTTGCTCCCTTTTGAGGGTGAAGAAAAAGAGTCCCACATAGAAAAATTAAGAGAATGATAAGTGACTTGAATATGTTAAAATCCATGAAACTAATGGAATGGTCATCCTCTTTCAAGGTGTCAATTTGTGGCGAGGTAGTCATGTATCTCTCCTTAGGCCAAACCCAAATGTTCCCAAACAATGGCCCTGACGTGTAAGCAGTATCTTTTACATGATATTAGAGAACATGCCTCTTAAGGCCTTAAGCATACATGAAAAAATCAGTGAATGATGATTGGACTTCTAATGCTGTAGCCACCATCTAACCACAATAACGATGCAGACACTATTAGTTCATGTGGGGCTTGGCTGATAAAAAAAAAAATGTTAATGTACGGCTTTTGAATCTGTTACAGCTTCTCCAGTAACATTCGCTGGTCAAATTCCTAATCCATGATATGTGTGAATAACAATTGGACTTCTAACAATATGGCTGCCATCTGACCATGACATTGAAGTAGACACCACCGTGAAAATTTTCAAAGCTCCTCCTGTTACAGTCACTTGAAAAGACTCGTTCTCCCTCATAGAGTTGAAAGATAGAACTGTAGGAACCACACTGACATTAAGTTTAGAGTGTGCAGAAACTTCGGCTATGTAAGTGGAATTTGCATTGCCAACATTTGTAACTGTCCTTTGAAATGTCACGGTGAAAGGCTGGTCTGATGGAACAGCAGCCGTTAGTGTAGAATAATTGAGATCCTTAGGCGGGACATTTTCTGAACTCGTATTACAAGTGCTATTACTTCCTGATACTGCTTTTAGTTTATCAGCATCATATCCCATGCTGCACATCAATTTGATATAGTCCTCTTCATAAACTTCAATACAAGTCCGGAATGAACAGCTTTTGTTGGATTAATATGCCCAGATCCGTAAGCAGATTCAACATCTGGATGATATGTTTGATTCATTGGCCAAGCTACAAGCATGTAGGGAAATTGGTCAGGTAGAAACATAAACTTACATAAAAAACACAATACAAAATATAAGATGTTCATCAGTAGTCATGAGAGCAGATTTGATGGCTGAAGGAGACCAGTCAGGATGAAATGTTTTAATATAGGCAGCCGCAGCATGTTTGACATGCCTATCATCTTTACTGTCACCTGTGACTAAACCTTCTGGTGAATACGT